CTGGATCTGCCCATATACTGATCCAGGCAGCTGTGGTGGGCACAAGACACTGCACACAGGTTACCCACCCCAGCACCAGGCTTGCCCTCCCCAGTGCCCTTCTCCCATTCTTCCCTTTAAGGGCCTCTTCCCATCCTCATCCCAGCATTTCAGTCCTAAAGTGACCCTATTCACAGCCCCAATCTTTCAGCTGCTGCTTTGATCTGTACCCTATATCTCTTTGCCATTACTTTCAATGGCAAAAACTGCAATTACTTTTGCACCCAAATCACACACCCTATAAACGTGAGACTCGCCTATTATAACTGTCGTTATTTTTAGGGATGAAGGAGTCTGCCTGGGGTTCTCCAACACTTTAGCCTGGAAGTTTCAACTACTTTCTCTCCCAGAAGATTTCTTAACACCCAAAGAAATGGGTCACAGAGAGTGGGAGGAAGGTATAGTGACATCAGTCTTCTCATCTGTAAAAAGGGGTGATGTGAGTGTCAGTCCCTTAAGGAAGTTGTGAGGATTGAAAGAGATATAGTGGATAGGCATAGCATTGGCTCCTGTATGTACCCTATAAATATGAGACATTTTCATTACAGTTTCTGCTGCTGTTATTATTGGGGGGGGGTCTACCTGGCATCTCTCAAAACTCACCTTAAAGGTGCTGCTGAGACCCTCCTCTGCTCCCGCTTCGGCCTAGAAAACGTATTTGGCTTTTTCTTTTTTCTTTTTTTTTTTTTTTTTTTTTTGAGATGGAGTCTTGCTGTTTTGCCCAGGCTGGAGTGCAATGGCACAATCTCAGTTCACTACAACCCCCGCCTCCCGGGTTCAAGGGAATCTCCTACCTCAGCCTCCCAAGTAGCTGGGATCACAGGTGCCCACCATGCCCAGCTAATTTTGTATTTTTCAGTAGAGACGGGGTTTCACCATGTTGGCCAAGCTGATTTTGAACTCCTGACTTCAGGTGATCCACCCACCTTGGCCTCCCAAAGTGCTGGGATTACAGGCGTGAGCCACTGTGCCCGACCCAGGATTTGGCTCTTTTAAATTCCACTCTCTTCTCATTCACTGCACACCGCTGCCCAGTCCTAGGTGTCATCTGATTTTCTCCATTTGGGACATTCCAGCTTCTTTCTTCACAGCAAGCAAATCAAATAACAGGCAGCTGGAGTGCTCGTTAAGAGTCCCAGACCGGGAAAGAGGTACTGATGGGGGAAGAGTTGGGGCCTGAGGTCTGGAAAGCACACTCCTGGTTCCCCACAGAGCCAGCTCCCGCCATCCTCCAATCCTGGCTCTGCATTGCTCCCCACCAACCCCGCTAGGGGCTGGTCCCCTCGGATCTGCCTCTGGCTCTCCTCTTAGGCCTCCTCTCCTTCTGGGTCCCCTTGGCCAGACCTCCCTGCAGCTCCCTCTTCCTTCTGCCTCATGGACACAGTCTCTGCCCCGTACCTGTTTTCCTTATTGGCATGGGTGAGGGGCATGTGCCCTGGAGTTGCACCCCCAGGCCAGTGCACAGGCTGTGTGCCTCACCAGCCTTGCCCTCCCCAGTGCCTTTCTCCCATTCTCCAGGAAGTGGCTCAGTCCTGCCTGCTCCAAGGATTCCCTGCCCCAGGTCCCTGAGAGCTCTCCCTGCGCACTCATCTGGCCTTGTGCATGCGCTTCGGTAATGGCACCTTTTAGTGAAATCTCTGATCTGCCCCCAATCCCAGAAGGGAGGCAGGCCCGACGTGTTTCGGAGGATGAACCTGAAGTGCAGGGGTGTAGCATGGCTTGCCTAAAGCCACATGACTGGCAAAGCCTGGCTAGAATCCTGGTCTCCGGCCTCCAAGCTCACCAGATGCCTGTGTGCCCCGTGATGACAGGGACCTTCTGCACCTCCATTCTAGAGACTCGTTTTGTAACAAAACCATTTCCCCTTTCTCCTCTCTGAATTTTCCTCTCCTGTGGCAGATTTCTGCCTGTCCCAGTTCTCTGCCTTACCCATTCCTCTCCTCTGCCCTTTGCTCAGACCTGGGAGAACACACCTAGACAGGGAACTCAGGATGGTCCCCTCAAGTTGCTCAAGCGCCGACCAATAGAACTTTTGGTGAGGATGTGCGTGTTCTCTGCCTCTACCGTCTAGCTCTGTAGTCCCTAGCAGCACTGTCCACTGCACTTGAAACCAGGCTGGTGCAGTAGACAAGCTACAATTTAAATTGTATTTAATTTTAGTTAGTTTAAATATAATGAGTTGCATATGACTAGCAGTTACTGTACTGGACAGTCCAACCCTCGGGTGTCCCTCCAGAAGCACAGACAAGGCCCCCACAGATAAGGCCACTCACCCCATCCACCTGTGGGACAGCTCCCTTTCTCTGGCTCCAGCACCTTCCCCTATTGACCTCAGCCACCACTTCCAGTCACCCCTCTCTGACCTACTTTTGCCCCATTCATTGTCCCCTCTGGCCCGCAGCAGCGTCCTGCTTGGCCTTACTGCTTTGCCAGCCGTAAGCACTCAAGGGACATAGCTGCCTACTTCAAAACCCTTCAATGGCTCCCCATTACCTAAGAATAAAATCAAGACCCCTTGCCAGGGCCTGCAAGTCCCCAAGGACCCCTACCAAAGCTCATCTTACCTGTGTCTCAGCTGCCACTTCTCTTATTTACATCTAACTTTCTCTAAGGCCCCTCGACCTGGGCTGGCCGTCTCTCTCTAGCCACATCTCCTATTTCCTTACCCTCCCAGTCCTCCAGGGTTCTGGACTTCCTTCAGTTCTCCCAATTCCCTCTGGCTTCCAGCCTCAAAAGCTGTTCCCTTTGCCCTCTTAGAACAAGGCTTCACACTCACCCGCTTTTTCCTGACAAACTCCTATTCATCCTTCCGCTCTTCATTTGAAAATCACTTCCCTAAGGAAGCCTGCCCTGACTGCCACCACCATCGGACAACGTTGCATGTAATCCAGTCCCCAGGCCCCTCTCATCTTTCACTATTGTAGCACTTATTTTATTTTTTGGCACACGACACAGTCACTGCCCGCTTCCTTCTTTGTTCACTACTTCCCTGTAAGTTTAGGAGGGCAAAGGTGTCTCCCACAATGCCTGACCCACAGCAGGCTCTCAGTAAACATTTTCTGAATGAATGAATGAGAATAGACCCCCCAAAAAGGTGGCAGAATACAATGCAAAGAACAATGTATACAGGGACCAGGAGGCTGCGGTTCTAGTCCTGGACCTCACCATGTGACTCTGGGCCTCAATTTCCCCATCTGAAAAATGGGGTTCAGTTCAGAAGATCTCTGGGATAATTTTCATCTCTAGCAGTTGAAAAGATTACAGTCAGTAGGGTAAATGCGGAGCTGCAGCTTGCAGAGAAGGCGTGTGCATGTTTGATGCAATAGTTAGCCCAAGGCCCCGAGAGTATGCAACTTAAGTCTGAAGCAGCGGAAGCAAGAAGCTGGGAAAGGCCAGGGCATGGCCAGGCCAGCAGGAAGGTCGGGGAAGGGGAGAGCATGAAGAGACAGGCTGAGCTAAACCATGAGAATCAGATACTTATTCCTCAGCAGCCAGGAACCCCAAGATACCTGGAGGAGCTCTCACTGCCCTGACACTCTGTTTACCACCCAGCCAGTCTGGGCTCACACTGCCTGAGCCTGATTGAGCCCTCTGTATTCCCTGGAGCCTGGCAGGGCGTGGGAATGAGCTGACAGCAGCAGTCATGGGTGCACCACTAGCACCAGTAAGCTTGCCCTGTGACCGCCCTCTCTGCTCTGGCCCTGCAATCTCCCTCTCCTTGGACACCCTGGAGAACCGCTCCAGCAGGTGCCAGCCTGGCAGAGGCAGCTGAGAGAAGCCTGGCTGTAGGGAATAGATGTGTCTTGCCAAAATGCTCTCAGCACCCCACCCGCCACGGTTAGGGCTGTGCTTCAGTGTTTGCTACACCAGCACTGTTTCACATGTTCAAAGGGGTTGGAGAGTTTGTCCCAGGTCACACAGCTTCCAAGTAGCAGAGTGGAGACAAAAACCCAGGGCTGCTGGGCTCTACCACCATGATCTTTACTGCTGCACACTGTCTCCAGCTAAGTAAGAGATCCTCTCCCATTTCTTCCCCATGGAAACCTTCCATGGCCAGGACCTGCTCCAGGACCTCTTACCAGACTGCTGCGGCCCCCACCTGCCTGGCCCCCACCTGCCTGTCCTCCTCTCCATCTAGGCCCTGGGTCTCCTGTGCTGCCCAGATTCCCACAGGTCATCAGGCCTCACCCTGTCAAGGCCCAGCCTTTCCCCTGCTGGCACAAAGAGGATGCATGTCCCTCCTTCCTGGGGAGGGGACAGCCTTTTCCTGTGTTCCCAAGATTGCCATGGCTACCTGACGCACTAGCGTTTAATCTACTTGGATCAAGAAAATGTGGGGAATGGGAGAAAGCATCCTTTCTCCAGGAAAATAAGAAACCTGGTTTAGGAACAGGAAGAAGGTGTGAACTAATTTGTGGCCAAGAAGAGCAGAGACAGAGACAGGCGACCCACACTTGGACCCTAGCGGCCTGGGCCAGAGAACAGGGACCAGGGCACCACCCCCTGCAAGAACTGTCGCCTCTCCCCGCCCACCTCAGGCCCTTGAGAGGTGGAAGGGGAGGGCCACGGGGGCTCAGTAAGCCTCAGCCCGGCCGCCGGGCGCACTTCCCGCTGCGTGGGCGCGGGGCCGCTGTCACACCACCCGGGCCAGGTCTCGAAAGGGAGTAGCGGAGCTTGCCTGCCTCGCGCCTCCGCGCGCCCAGCCTTCCTCCACCTGCGCGGCGGGCCCAGGGCGCTTCCAGAGCTGGACGCCGGGGGCGCCTGCCGGGGACAGGAGTTGCGGGGCCACGCTCTTGTCCACCAGGTCCTCCGGATCCCTGGCAGGGCAGCGCGTGTCCTTGTCCCCCGCGAACCCGGGGCTCGCAGAGAGCGAGCGCCCGCGGACACCGGCTGAAGAGTCTGGAAGCTGCGCGAGAGGGCGCCGCGGGGAGGGATAAAAGCCAGCAACAAAGAGCACAGACCTCTTCCAGCAGTTGGTTGACTCGTCCCAAAATAGCCGTCTCCATTTGCTGCTCCCCGCGCTCGGCTTCCAGGCGCAGCACCCGGGCCTGCAGCTCGGCCGTCCGAAAGTGGGCGAGCAGGCTGAGGGCCAGCGAGCAGAGGGCCAGCGCCAGCAGCCCGCAGGACCCCGGGCTCGGCAGCCGCGCGCCGCGCTCCGCCCGCGCCATCGCCAGAGCCACCGTCCCGGGCGCGCCCAGCTCCCCAGGGCCGCGGGCACCGGCGGCTGCCGCTTTGAGGGTGTGCTCCGCTACCATCCTCTCACGTCTTGAGAACCAATAAATAAATAAATAGAATAAATACAGGCGAGAGCCGCTGCCAAAAGGCTCGATCCAAACTGCGGGGCAGGGAGAAAGGGCTTGTATCGCTGGAAAACGTCCCTTTCCGTTGCTCCCGGCAAAAAGGACGGAAAAATTAGCAGTAAGAGGGGAAGTGCCGAAAAAGCACAACCAGCGGTAATTGGGGGCACACCTAGGTGAGAAAAAAAGTTATTTCGAAGAACGTTCCAAGTCCAGGAAAGTTAGGGGAATCTGACCGGCTCTCCTTCTCTCCGCCCCGTCTTTCCCTTCAAGTGTCTGCAGAGCAGTTGGTGCCGCGCTGTCAGTCCTTCTGGGAGCCTCTTGTCTCCCGGGCCAGCCAGTTTCAGTCCCCGGGCGAAGGGGCGCACATGGAGGGCCCCATGGGCAGAGGTGGGTCGTGGCGGCTGGCGAGGAGCGCTGGGGCCGATTCCGGCGCCTCTGTAACTTGACACACTAGCTGCGGCTGCACGGATCGGATGAGCAATCCGTGCTACTTCCCAAACTAATCTCTCCCGCCCCCTCCCTCCTCCTCCTCCTCCTCCTCCCCACTCCTCCTCCAACTCTTGCGGGGCGGACGGCTTGGATTTGTTTATTTATGCAAACTGGCCCGGGGTGGGGGGCGTGGTGAGCAGGTCCAGCGGCCCCAGCCTGCCCGCCGGGAGCCCCTCTCCCGCGCTCTCCGTCCTCTTTGAAGTGACACTTGGGGTTATTTATAGGCAGGAAGGGGGTACGGAGTGGAGCTGGGGCTACACTTCTCTCTCTTTCTCCGGATTCACACCGAGGGCTCGTTTGCTTCCACAGAGGCGGTGGGGCAGGCACCACTCCACCTTTCCCAGACCTTGAGACCCCTCAGGAACCCGACTGAGTTATTGTCAAGGCTTGTGGGTGGATCTCCACGTCCCGATCAGGACTACCTGATCCCTTCAGCCATTGCCCCACTACCCCCAATCCCCAAACTCTTACCTTTTCCTTCACCCCCACAACCGACTCACTGGGAGCTCTGTGCCTCTCGAGGTCTGCAGCCCCTCCAGTACAGGCGGCCAACCACATCTTTACTCTGGGGTGAAAAGTTAGCCCTCCAGCGGGGAGCAGAACTGGCACCTCTTTTTCTCCTTCAGGATCAAGCCCTAATGTAATATGAGAGACTGAAAATTGAGCGGAAGAGCTTATTCCAGGTATCTGAGAGGTGGCTCAGTGGGGCTGCCTGCCAGTCCTGACATCTCCCCTTCTTGTCTGTCGTTGATCTGAGACTCATGCCATCCATCCCCTTGTGATGAGACCAGCCTGCCTCAATCATCCCGGTCATCAAAGGTGAGCAATTCCTACACAAACTCGGGCTCCATTCCTGCGTGAGGCTTAGGGCTAACCAGGATCTCTCCTGCTGTCATTTGCTATACTCCACTAGAGAAACACTGGTGGCCTGAAGGACATTTGGTAGTTTCCTCTCTTCTTTTGTCACCTCCCTCAACCCCCACATTAAGTAGCATTTGTATCCCCAGAGACTTTATCTCCTTGTGCCTGTTGACATTCCTGTGAATGAGGTGGTGGGACTGAGTTTTTGTAGAAAGCCTGCCTTCCTGGAACAGCGGGCAGAGGAGAGAAGACTGGCCTTTCAAATATGCAGTGGAGGTGGGGGCAGCAGTGGTGTTGGGATTCCATTTCAAAATAACAAGGCATGCCAGTATAAACTTCCCATTTTCTACATTGACCTGATGGAACTTGATATATAATACAGTTTCAGTGTGCTTCTAATAGAGTGTGGCACTTTTTTTTTTTGGAGACAGAGTCTCACTGTGTCACCCAGGCTGGAGTGCAGTAGTGTGATCTCGGCTCACTGCACCCTCCACCTCCAGGGTTCAAGTGATTCTCCTGCCTCAGCCTCCCAAGTAGCTGGAATGACAGGTGCCTGCCACCACACCCAGCTAATTTTTGTATTTTTTAGTAAAGACAGGGTTTCACCATGTTGGTCAGGCTGGTCTCAGAACTCCTGACCTCGTGATCCACCTGCCTCGGCCTCCCAACGTGCTGGGATTACAGGCGTGAGCCACTGCGCCCGGCTGAATATGGCACATTTAATAGTGTGTATTGGACTTGTAACAAAGTAAATACTTAGATAATGCATAATAAACGTAAATGGGATGTCCCAGTCCACTCTACAGAGTAATCCTTGAGAGAAAGCCGATGGTGTTGATGAGCACCAGGGGGCGCTGGAGAGTTTCTGCACTGGGAGGTACCGGCCAGGAAATTCAGGGACTTAGGACTTCCCCAACTCGCCTCCCAGGCTAGTCTGAATGGAGGAACTGAGGTAGAGAGTTCGTTTCATTCCCTCCTTATTCTGCAAACTGATCTTTTCTCTTTCAGGGCTTTGGAGACCCTCAGGAATGCTCAGGAAGTGAAACCTAAACAGTTTGGGGCTGGAGCATCCTTGGGAGCTGGAGGAGGAGGGTGCCGGGCTAGCCTGACGGGACCCCAGCATTGCAAACCCTGGAGCTTCCAGGGGGACTCTGGAGTCAGGGAAACCGGGTACAAATCTCACTTTTGTCAATGTGGAAGTTACTGAACATTTCTGAGCCTCAGTTTTTTCATTTATAAGATAGGCTGATAATAAAAGTACCTACCCACCGGGCACGGTGGCTCATGCCTGTAATCCCAGCACTTTGGGATGCCGAGGCGGGTGGATCACCTGAGATCAGGAGTTCTAGACCAGCCTAGCTAACATGGTGCAACCCCGTTTCTGCTAAAAATACAAAAAATTAGCCGGATGTGGTGATGGGCGCCTGTAATCCCAGCCAGTCGGGAGGCTGAGGCAGGAGAATCGCTTGAACCCTGGAGGTGGAGGTTGCAGTGAGCAGAGATTGTGCCATTGCACTCCAGCTTGGATAATAAGAGCAAAACTCTGTCTCAAAAAAAGAAAGAAAAAAAGCACCTACCCATCTGGGAGAACTGACGAGGGAATGCATGTTAAGCACTGAACACAGTGCCTGGCACACAGCAGGCACTCAATGAAGGGCATCAGTTTCCTTCTTAGGAGCTCATGGTTGCTAGGGCCGCCTCAGACACAGCTAGCTCTGGCCTCCCAGTTGTGAAACAGGAAGAAGTTTCCATCTCAGAGAAGGCAAATGGGTCACAGTTAACCTCCATTTTTCCCCAACTGATAGCTGAGGGTAGCAGCTTGCGAGCAGCAGGACTTAGGCTGTGGGCTGAGGGCCCGATCTCTTCTTCCTGCATTGCTTGGAATTCTTACTCTGGGAGATTTTTCCTTCATGTAGGGCATTGTCTACCCCAGGCCAAAGTTACAGGCTCATGTGGCTTCTCTTGAACCCTTCTTTCTTCATAGGTGGGGGCCAGGACCTGGGGACACTGAGGTGAAAAGACTGCCTCCCAGGAGCTTTAAAAACAGTTGATTAAGGAGGATAAGTCATATTCACATACAACCACCGCAAAAGGCAGAATAGTGAAAATCCACAAAATGTGTAAGACCACAAAAGGTGCTTCAGGGCTTCCAGAAGGAAGGTGAGGATTCAGATAAAACACCCAGATAATAGATTTTCTTGTTTGCAGCAAGAAGAGAGACGGCCTCCAATGCTAACCCAAAGACTTTGGTTTTGAACTGTGGTCTTGGCTACGCACCTGGATAAAAATGAAGAAAAAATGCCCCAGGCATACAACCTGTGGGTTCTTCAAGTCTTTTCTGTGTTTTTCCACTTTTTTGCACCTGCTAGACCCTCTGCCAGGAAGGCCACCCTTCTCTCTCCTGAGAAAACCCCTTTAAGGTGTTTTCTACACCTTAAAATCCTGCCATTCACTCCCAGCCCATTCTTATTGAGCAGACTCTATTTCTCTTCCTCTCACTGTGGCTCTGACAGCATCAAACTCCTTCCTCAAACCAAAACTGCCACCGTGGCATCTCCGAGGCCCCGCTGTGCCAACTCCCACTGTCTCTCCCACTGGCTTTTCAGGCTTCCCCGAAGACTCCTCTTCTGCCCCCCATGACAAAAATGAAGGTCAGCCCTCCTCAGGACTGCCACAGGTCCTCTGTCCTCTGCTTGGCTGTTCTGCCCATGGCTCTTGACCTGGCTGTCCCATTTCTTTCCCATGGAAATCTTCCATGGCCAGGACCTGCCCCAGGTCCCCTGTGGAGGCCATAAGAGAGCCAACACCTGTCATTTTATTCGCCCTGAGCCTAGTCCCCCTTTTCCTAGTAACTGTGACTCATGTGACTCAGTTTCCTTTGGGAAACCTTCTTTCTCCCAGGCCATATGGCTCTGGTGGGGTTAACTCTATACCTGGCCTATGAATGGGAGCTAACCTCACCAATTAGCCTCTCTCATCTCTCCCTGGCTACTGTGATTAGGTCAGAGAGGGCATGTGACCCAGTTCAGGCCAGTGAGAGTCAGGCTGGAGTGACTGGGAGCGACAGCTATCTTCTCTGAAGGGCTTTCTAAAGGGATGCGCTGGAGCTGCCTCAGGTGTCTTGCCACTATTGATAAATGAGGATGAAGTCAACACGGAGGCAAACAGAGTGGAGAACAACTGAGTCCTGAAGACATCCTCAAAATCGTTCAATCAAACTGTACCAAGAAGCCTGGTGACAGGAGTCCCTTCTGCTCAAGCCAGTTGAGGTGGGTTTCTTTTCTTACAAGTATAAGAGCCAAGTCACATATAGGGCCTCAGGCTACCTTTCTGAGTCGGAATCTCTTTGTGGTTGGTGGGAGGAGATGGCAGGGAAGTCCAGGTTCCTGTCTGCTTCTAAAAGTTTCCCGAGGGACTGGAAGGTCCATCCAAGGAAGAGAGTCCCCGGACTGAGCGCGTGCCCCGGGAGAGCTTGCCCATCCTAGGCTCGTTTCTATCTCTCCGTGCATGACTCTCCCACTCAAACACACAGCTCGTGTCCTGTGCACAGCTTGCTCACGGGGCTCTTGGAGCGCCCCTCCCCTCCACCTCACACTCAGCTTCTCCACCCCCCCTGCTCTTTGTTTCCTCAGTACCACCCATGGCATCACCCTGTGCTCAGCCAGGATGTTTGCTTTCTGCCCCGCTCTCCCTTCCCTCACTCAGTTGAGTTGGGACTGGTCCTGTAGATTCTACCTCCGTCCTTTTTTTCAGATCTGTTCCTCCTCTTTGACCTCTCTGCTTCTGCTTCCTGCCCCAGCCTAGGGTTTGTTGTTATTGTTGTTGTTGTTTTAAGACTGAGTCTCCCTCTGTCACCCAGGCTGGAGTGCAGTGTTGCAGTCTCGGCTCACTGTAGCCTTTGCCTCCTGAGTTCAAGTGATTCTCCTGCCTCAGCCTCCTAAGTAACTGGGATTGCAGGCAAACATGACCAAGCCTGGCTAATTTTTGCATTTTTAGTAGAGATGGGGTTTCAGCATGTTGGTCAGGCTGGTCTTGAACTCCCGATCTCAAGTGATCTGCCCGCCTCAGCTTCCCAAAGTGTTGGGATTACAGGCGCAAGCCACTGTGCCCAAACCTAGGTCTTTAAACAAGCCCAGCTCTCCCATGCTATAGCCAGAATGGGCAAAACCATGGAGGTGTGGACAGGGGCC